GAATCATGTTGTGTACTTCTGGAAAGGTAACTTCTCAGGAATATCAAACAGTCTCTAACTGCTTGGACTTAGGAAAAAGGAATTAATTGGCTTTTCAAACCCTGGTCTTTGAAAGCTGTGCCATATGTCAGAGGAGAAAATACTTCCCAATTGCCAAAAAATAACAGGTTCTGGATAGTTTTTTCTTAGGTTTGCATTTGTATACAATACACCTAAATGTGCTACCCTCATGCGTGACTAGAAGTTGTTAGATTTTTGCTCAAAGAGGACAATAAAATGACTTCTAAATTCTTAAACTGATGCTTCTACCACTCCTGTGCCTCATTCAGAGGTATTGGGGTCTGCCCAGTTGCTAATGAAGTTAAATTAATTTCAAAGTCTACCCTGGATTAGTTCTGTACAACATTTGTTTCCAAACCATGCAATTTGGATTGCCATACATATGGTAATACCTAGACCTATCAACATAATGGGATAATTTATCATGAACCTCAGTTACACTTTGAATGAGAGCGCTAAGTCTTTTGCACAGCAGAGCAAAAGGAGAATTTTCTTCTGCTGCATTTTCTTCTTACACATCTGATTTATCCTGCTCAAAATGACAATGCTTTTGTCCTCCTTAAGATTTGTGTGTTATGTTGTAAGCACTGATAGATTACAGTAGGTTTTGAAACTTTCCATCTTTTATTCTGAGTCTGTGAACTCTGAGCTACTAAATAACAGGTTGCTAATCAGAACAGGAACAATGGAAAAGGATAAATTAACCTATTAAAAATGTACTCAAATTACTTAGTCCTGCAAACCAGTTAAGTAAGGAAAAAGCAGTTAATTGACTTAGAGTTCTTTTTTTTTTTCCTAACGTGCTGCTCAGTAAGGAAGGCTGGAAACATGGGTGGGATTGGAGCAGGGGGAAGAATGTGAGTGGTGGGGATCCGTCCGACAGGGAAGACCAAAATCTGTAGGAGGACGCACAGGGTCTGCTCGAAGAATGGTTACGCAGAAGTTTCCTGTGAACTTTTTCTTAAATCTTTCTGGTTTTTCTGCAATGTGTATGTTTGCTGAGAAATTGAGCGTGCAGCCTGCTGTCTCACTAGGCATCGGACCCAGCGAGGCTGCTGCAGTTTGCTCTGAGCCGAGTTGAGCCAAAACGGGCTCTGCAGTGCGCGCAGTCGGAGGGCGAGGTGCCAGCGGCCGCTCCACAATCCCATCTCCAGGACGGAAACACAAGTGGCTCTCCCTGCTTAGCTTTTTGAGTCTGTTCTCACAATTTAAATAGCTATGGCTCTGGGCGAGACATTCCTTCCGAGTACAAAAAGAAAATGGAACCAATCTGGTCAAAATAGGATCTAGTAGCAGTAGTGACTTGCAAGGTGATTGCTGCCAATTGCACGTGCAGATTTTTCTGATAGACAGGGTAAGAAGGGAGAAGGAGAGTTTGTCTGTGCACATTGTATCGTAACAGAGGAAGTTTATGTTATTTTCCATGTTCTGCAGAGTCCGTTAAAGGAAGCGCAAAGTGCTAGTGCTGGCGTGTGTGCTGCCCAGCCAGAGGTTACTCAGTAGAGCTCTGTCCCCACCGTCGGTGTGCACAGAATGCTGGGTCTAGCTGCATCTTTGGAAACTCCAGGAGTGCTTTTGTGCTCTGACTCTATAACTTATATTGGAGATCCTGATTGGTTTTTAAAGCAAAAAAACTCTATGTCAATAAATATATTCTCCATGCACACACTTTAGGGCAGAGGAGAGAGAAAAATTGAATTTTACATACAGTCATAATTGTATATTCATTCTGAGAATGGAAGTCTAGGCAAAGCCACTATTTTATTTGACCGAGTAAAGCTTTGAAAGGTAAACGGTGCATGTATGGGACACTGAACTCTTTTCATATCAGTATTTTCTGGGTAAGTGCCGTTTAAGTCAATGTAAAAATCCTTAAAAAGTACAAATTTGCTATTTAAGTTTCTTATGCAGTTGGCTCTATATATGGGATATATTTGTGTACTTAGATAGAAAGTCATATTTAAATAATTTATTTTAGGCTAGTCATTAATTATGCAAAACCCAATTCATGTTAAAAATTCAGTTATCTTCCTACAGAAATTCAAAGTCACTCTTGTTTTATTGCATATCAGTAAATTATGAATCAATTGTGCTCACTTTGCCAATAAAGGCTGTTTTTTTAAGACAATGAGATTATACAGGGGCTTTCAGAATTATATTTAGTCAACAATTAGGTTGATGTTTGAGTCAGAAAGTGATTCAGCTCACTCTTTTAGAGCTGTGTGGGTTCTGCATGACCAATGGGATACAAATCTTGCATATTGATTTCGAGAAGGAGAGCAGATAGGAGATTCTGTGTGGCTAGAGCAGAACTGCTGGGTAAGAAAGGATTGTCCTATCCAGTATACCTGGCATTTTTCCATAATTACTTTTCAAGGTAAACTTGTGCAGCTACTGGAAATTTAATTACATCAAAAGTACCTTTCTGTGCTTCTGACTACTCTTGACTTCCTAAAGATGGAGTCCAGCACATACCTATTGTCCATATCCAGCTGTCTCACGACCAACGTATTTAACTTCGTAAGACTTAATGCTTTATGAATGCATCTTGTTTGCTGTAGGCATGATTTAAAATGTTATCCCCACTCCCAGCTTCTGCTTCTCAAGGCAAGAATTTACAAACTATCTCTATGCTCTACCTCGAAGGTTGCCTGGGCACTGGAGTTGAATTCAGTAGCTACTCAAGACTTCATGTATAACTAGAAATATACTCTGTGCAGTGTGTTGTTATCAGAAGGCCATATCTACTGTAGAATGTCAAAACTTGATTAAGTTGTGGGGAAGAAGGAAGTGATGTGCTGTAAGTCATTCATACAGAATCATTTGTGGAGCATTTTACATCAGCTATAACAGTCTAGTGGGTGCTAGCAGAATAAAAATCTGATCAAAAGAAGAGAAGTCTTTGTTAAGAGACTTTTTATTGCAATAGCATTTAAGGTTAAGTAAGTATATCTATTCTAACCTGATAGTTTTCACTTCATAATGAAAACCTTTTATCATTTAAGCTGAAATTTTCTGCTCTGTCCTTACCAGAACATGGTTTGTGTGGGGCTCTTTACTCTGGTCTTGCTATATAGAGGAATGTGCTTTCAACTGAACTGTTTACTTCCAGTTTCTCAATCTCACAAATTAAAATTGGAAAGTGATCTTTAAATGTATGTTTCTTTCCCCACTGCACTCGGAAAAAAAACCACAAAACCCAACTACTTTTATTTGCTTTTTTGGCATTCTTTGCAATCTGAAGGTTCACTCTTTCAATGTCTTGGTGCTATTTTTGCTGTCCTAATAGCTTGAGTTCACCAGAGTGCACCCAAACATTAAGGCTTAAGAGCAAGTCCAACCACAGTATTTGTGTAGTTCCTCTTAATACTGTTTCATGCAAAATTTCTGCAAGCTATAGCTGTTGCTGTAACTGAGGATGTGCCCTGAGATACAGGGGAACTGGAGAATGTGACCTGACCAACACAGTAGTGGATCTTTGCAGGGCCACACTGTAGAATGGGAAATCTCGTGCTCTGATTCAGCTGGGAGAGCTGACGCTGAGATCCAAGCAGCCACATAGTGCAATGAAGACTCACTCTTGTTAGGCAGAACTTCAAATGAGAAGCTGTGTGCCTCCTGCTTTTGATCAGGAGGACTGTTTTTCAGACAGTCCCAAGGCTGAAGGCTGTTAAATTAAGGTGCAGTATTTATTGGATCCAACTCATAGTTTGGGGTTATAATCAGGACGCTATCTTTTGCACAGGGATGTAGAACTGCTCTTAATCATTGCCCTATCCATTGGATTTTCACTGCTTTGGTAGGAGAATAGAGAATGTCCCTGTCTCCATAGTCCTCACCTGGTGACTAAAGCACTGCCACAGGGTGGGAGCAAGAAAAACACTACTTTTAAAATGGAGCTTAATTAGCTTATGGAAGGGAGTAGAGGAGAGAGGGTTGTAAGGACTGGTGTCTGCATCCCTGGTATAGCAGGCTCGATGTTCCTAATACAGCTTAATGTAATCTGGTGTCTGACTGGATAACCTTGTTACACTGATACAGTGCTGCCAACCCTTAGAGCCTTCCCTCCTTTTCTTATGGAATAGTTGAAACTGGCAGAGAAGGTGTAAGATCAGTGAAAAGCTAAAGTAATGCCAGCATGGGACTGCAAGGCTTATTACATTATGGGAGGAAGAGGACCAGCGTATGCATTGTAATGCTAAAAATATTCCCTGTGATGTGGGACGGCCACAGTAGCCACGTGGTGTCTTTGACTTGTTCTGGTAACGTGCTCTCTTGGGGATGTCAGAACGCAGGATAAGGCTCCAGTGTGGTGGCAGAGACACAGAATTCAAAAGCACATAGACATGATCTGCGTGGCTCTGTGTGTGGAGCAGAAGCAGATTTGAAAGTCACAGGATTAATGACAGTGAACTGGGCAGGAATTGGAGGTGCAAAAGGAAAGGTGGGATCAGGTTCTAGTGCCCAGAATCATGTCAGTTGGGATGGGGACAGCACTCTCTCTCTGGAGGGCTTGGACACCTTCCTTCTGGGCTGTTTGGAGAAAGGCACTGCTTTGACATGCATATGGACAAGTAAAAGACTATCCAGAAAAAGGCCAAAACAAAACAGATAGTGTATAAGTGGAAAAATGAAATGCATGCTGCCTCACAGACCTGCATACTACAAACTAATGAGTGTGCAGAGCAGAGGAAGAAACTATCCAGTGTGTTGTATTTGTATCATATCGGAGGAAGACAGAGAATATAGGGGGGGAGTTTCCTGATGAGATCTGTCAGACAGTGGGTACACTTTCAAAGGAATTAGCTGACATGCCATCACCTTGGCCTTGTTTTCCTGCTTTAGGAGAGTTAATCCTGCTTTAAATTGCTGGTATCGGACATGCCTTGTGACGATCGGGAGTGAGCTTATCCTCCCTTCTTGCTTTTGTCCTAGGTCCAACACGAAAAATGCCCCTGACTGCCAGTGCCATGGACTTTTTTCAACTCTTTGTCCCTGACAACGTACTAAAGAATATGGTGGTCCAAACCAACATGTATGCCAAGAAGTACCAGGAGAGGTTTGGTAGTGACGATGCCTGGATTGACGTCACCTTGACGGAAATGAAGGCCTTCTTAGGCTACGTGATATCAACCAGCATCCACCACTGTGAGTCCGTTCTCAGCATCTGGAGCAGCGGCTTCTACAGCAACAAGAGCATTGCACTTATCATGACACAATCACGGTTTGAGAAGATCCTGAAGTACTTCCACATTGTGGCCTTCCGCTCGAGCCAGACAACGCATGGCCTCTACAAAATCCAGCCTTTTCTGGATTCTCTGCAGAATGGCTTTGACTCCGCTTTCAGACCTTCGCAAGCCCAGGTAAGAGTTAACCTGTTGGCGGGGAACATTTAACCTACGTGCTCTAGGTTGTCTCGCTGACTGAAATCGCAGAGCACAGCTGTCGGAAGAAAGAGCTGCGGCTTCACAGCGTGAAGCCGTGCTGCGGTGCCTCCGTGGAACATGAGGGAAAGCAGCGCTGTCCTATGCGAGTGCTCAGCAATGTTTGACTTACAGCTCTGCAGTGCAGGTACCTGGCATGTTGCAATAGGAATGATGCTCTGCGAGCTGGGGCTGTTTGCTTTAGTGGTCCAAACAAGCCTGGAGACTTCTCAGTGAGGTTAGCACCGCCGGGTTTTGCTATCCTGAGGATGGGAGATTGCAGGCTGCTTCTGCGAGGGCGAGTGGAAAGGGCAGAGCTGGTGCTGCTGGGCTGGAGGGAGAACTTGTAGCTGCTCCCGCGACAGGCTGAGCGTGGGACGCAGGAGCTGACTTTGCTAGGAATGACTGGCCCTGACCCTAGCAGTAGGTGCTTGCCGTATGGTCCAGCAGCACAGCTGCCTCCCCATGGCTGGGCAAAGGGAAAATAAGCAGGGGGGCAAGTGCCTTCTCTCGCTGCGGTTGTCAGCTGCCCTCAGCAGCACTGCCTGTGCCTTGTGCCAGACCTGGTTTTTAGTGATGTGCGATGCTTCTATGGAAGAACTTAACGATTGTGGATTTGCAACCAAAGTGCCAGTGAACTGGAAATATTTCCAGGCTACCAGGAATAAAAGTGAACAGGATTCCGATGAATTTTCATTTCCAGATACAATTACGGGTACAGCAGAAGGCCATTCTGTAGGGAGACTGCTCTGTAGACTGGGCAGACAATGTAAGGAGCTAAACATAGAAATGTATGTAGCTGGTGGTTGTCTGACTGCAGCTGTACAGTTGAATAATTTTTTTTTTAATTAAAAGTGCAAAGAAATCTTTTCTTAATATTCATCATACACTGTTTAAACTTTGTTCCACTATAAATGATCTCCTTTTGGAGCTGTTCCTACTGGCCATGTTCAGAAGTCTGGGAAGAAAAAGGAATAAGCATGAAATATGTTACTACTTGAAATAACTTTTCAATCAACTCTCTGTTTTCAGAGTATAAAGATTTCACCTAGACCTTTGGAAAGGGTGTTGTGTCCATCTTCCTCTTTTTCTTCCTGTTTCCCTTCTGAAGCATCACATTTTTGCCCACTGCACAAAATTAATAAAGACATAGATGCATCACATCCATTGAAGTGCGCCTAAAGTAAATTGGGAGTGATTACAGGTTTTTTCTATTTTATAGACAATAAAAATCATACCTGTATAATCAGGACAACACAGCTGTCTAAAAAGCTGTTACGGTAAAGATGGGAGAAGGGAGGAGGGAGGAGTGTTCTCACTAAGCCATGCCAGCAAGGTGCATTTCCATCAAGACAAAACAGGCAGTGAGAGACACGGTATTGTTGGGACCAAGCTCTCATTAAGATATGAAATCTAATCCTTATGGCCGCTGACTTCAATAGGCGGAAGATAAAGGCTTCAGAAATGTGATCACTGTGTCTAATGTAAATGCTTATAATGGTGTACTGTGGGACATGCTGTGAGTGCAAATCCATTAAAGGATAAAATTTGATTTGCATGTATATCCCTTCTCCCTTCCCCACTCCCGAGCAAAGTTTGAGAACTGAATTGGCAAAATCATAGCATCCTATTTGCAGTGGCAAGACATCTAAATCTCCACAAGCAAAATGTATGCTTGTGCTGAGCTTGGTAAGGAGATGCTACTCTAAAAAAAAAAAGGGGGGGGGGCGAGGGGAGAAGGAGAAGTGACAGCCCAATTCTCTTGCTTCCCTCTCCACTTCTCTCTTCCCTTTCAGTGTTTACATCAGTGATTTCTATACAGCATGCTTCAGTGGTATTGAGCGAAACAAAAAGCACTAAAATACAGCTTCAAAAATAACCCTGTGAGAAAGAAAAAGGATTTGAATCTGTTGTTAAAAATACTCCAGTGTAGCGATGGTAGCCTACTGGGGGATGTTCCAGGCCTCCTCCCGAAAGGAGCCCTGTGCCTAATGTCCTCCTGGGTGCCATCAGGCAGGGCTGCACGCTACCTGTCTCAGGAGACGTGGACCCATCTGCTCAAAACAACAGGAAAGACCTCGCCCTGGAAATTGCCTTGAGTGCAGATTAGCAGACTGCAGTAAACATCAAACCCAGAATGTCAGGCCCAGTGAGAAATAATAGAAATAATTAAAAGTAATAACCCAGTTGCACAGAAACAAAGGGAAAAGACAAGGGGAAAGACCCATTCAGATGGGCTTTTGGATGTGCTGCATCTTGAACGTGTTTTGGGAAGAGGGGCCCAGGTTTCTGTGATCAGGGATACCTGGAATCCCAAGTTCAAAATGGATTCGTTGCTGAAGGTATACCTGTATCTTAAACATAAGACTTATGGTATCTGGTTGGTTTGTGCCTGAGCTGTGATCTATGCTCAAGCTTTAGGCTAACGTCTTGTAAGTGGCATCAAGCAGAGGAATGACTTGGACTCTTTGCTGTTGAATGCAGCAAAGCCATCGGGCTTGTAGGTAGACTTATTACTGATTTTCTTCCTCTGTGGACTCACAGAACGTGGGTTAGGAAGATGCCATGTTTCACTCACCCTATGGACAGAGCAGGCAATTTGTGTCAGGTAGGCAGTGCAGCACCTGCTTTCACAGTTATTTCTTCTACAGATTTGATATTTTCCTTTTGGAGAGCTGGAAAAGATTCTTTAAGTGGAATTTCTGTCTCAGAAAATATTTAGGGTTTTTTTCTCGTGTGTAACCTCCCCTCCCCCGCTCCAAAATGTGCATGCAGAAATGACACCACAGTTTCTATGAAAGGAAGCAGAGGGAAAGAGAGAACTATGCCAATATACCAAAACAAAGAAAACAGTCTAGTGAATTATAATTATTTTGCTAAATATACTGAGCAAACAAAAGGAAATAATTACTCTCCAGCTTATGAAGGTATTGAAAGCCCAGAACATTATAATTGTGTATCAGCAGTGCTAGCTTCAATTTCTGAAGTAAAAAAAATGGTGTTCTGACGTAGATTGGATAAGAACAACAGGAATATCCTCTGCATCCTATCCCTCCCCAGCATCTTCTGTATAAATAACCTCTGCCTCTACCTGAGCGACAAGAGGCGGAGGTTTGGGTCGGTTCCTGCCATCAGTGTCATCTCTTTGCTGCTGAGGTCCACATAGCTTTGTAGCTGTGCTGCTGTTGACGAGTGGAAGCCTGGAGACAGGGAAGATGCCCTGCCTGAGCTTGGGAGGTATACTGCAACAAATTCATGGGTACTCACCCGCCAAGGATATACATGAATTCCAGAAACTGGAGGAGCTCAGGAAAATAACATCAGTGCGCAAATATCCTTCTGCGCCTGCTGAGTATTTATATGCTTGTCAGTGGGATGTGACTAGACAGGATCGCTGTCTCTGGCTGCCCCTGACTGGTGTGGGAGAGGTCAGGAGTACAAGTCAGGGCACTCTCCCCCTCCCTCTCGCTGCAAAGTACCTTCTCCTCAGCATTTTGGAACCAAACATTTCTGCGTATGCCCAGTGAAATGTCAGCTGGGAACAGCCACCTGGAGTCCTTACCTCAGGCAGCAGTGAACTCCCTGGCAAAAAGAGAGACATAACTCTAACCTCTTGCTCCAAAGGCATGGTGCTAAAATATGGCCACTGTGGGGGCTTGTTTGCATTTCGCTCCTGGGGGTATCATAGGGTACAGCTAAGCAGTTTCAACATAGTTCTTCCAAACCAGCTCACAGCATGACACAACAGCTTCTCTCAAAACACACAGGGGCAAAAACAGGGTGATGAACTCGTAGCTCTTTTGTGTCCTCATCATTAGATGTTGATTTGGTATTGGGCATTTCCGAATTACAAGATCTTGCTCAAGTTACACCTCTATATCTCACTTTTACTGTTTTCAGAATGATTCTTTGTGAGTAAGGATGCTGGTCCCAAACCAGGACTGTTCTGTCTTAGGGCTTCTGTGAGTATAACACGAAGACGTAAGTATTCAGAGGACGACGGCCAAGTATAAGACATGGAGTAAGAGAAAGGCAGACAGAGGAGCAATAAGAATATTGAATAGCAAGGTAAATTTCTGATGTCCTGTAGCTCTTGGCTGGTTGATCCTCCGGTGAAGCCAGATTTTAGGGAGAGTTTGACAGCAGAAAATGATGAACCTTTATGGCTATTTTAAAATTACCTAATGGTAATGGAGTGCTGTAAGAACTGATTTTTCTTTAAAGACAGTCAATTGAAGACTGAACAAATGGGCAGAGGAGCGTGAAATCATGGCCCCATCAGAGGTGGGAGGTAACCTTTGAATGATGGCAAAGGGGATCACTAAAATGTGGATAGACCAAACAGGTCTTTGAAAGTGAAGAGAAAGAATCTGTCTGATACATTGGAGAAGAAGAGCTGTCAGAGAGAAATAAAGAAAAGCGATGTGGCCGGTGTGATGGACTAGGAGAATGGCTTTCCAGCAGCAATCTGTAGGGCAAGATTGCTTTATGTTGAGGCCAAAAGGAAAGCTGTTGCAGAATGGCTGTGGGCTTGGATGAAAACCTGACTCAGTGGGTGGGTTGTTACTCTCAAATGAATAACATTTTAGAGCTGTTACTCAGAAAGCATGGAAAATGCAGGCACTGCCTGGCTCAGAAGACCTTGCACGGAGTTGGAGGTAAAGACTGACATTCAGATTCACTGGCCAGCGAGAACTGCAGCAGGAGGAGAGGGATGTCTGCAATGACCAAAAAAAGACATAGTAAGGGGTTATCTTAAGGGAAGGGAGATGCTCTCAAATGCAGCGTAATAAAATCAGAACTGACAACTAGATATGCACGCAGAGATGTCAGATACTAGCAGAGAATTTAGTTAAGACAGGAGGAGCTTTGGAGCAAAGAAGCAAAAGCACAAGCTACTATTGCAGAAGCAATGCCTGAATCTGTGCATGAAGGTGCATCCAGGGGACTCTGTTTGCAACTGGATGGTACCCACCAAAAGCCAGAGACAAGGCAAGCTGAGGCAGTTTCTCCAGGAGATGGGCTGAAGAGACAGCCTGTGTTGGGACTGGCCATGGAGCTAAGAGAAGATAAGCTATCTCAAGGACATGTTGGTTCATTATCTAAGGCAATGGAGTCCAGGAAGTCTAAGTACAAAAGAGTTAGTGTCTCTGGGCTTTGCCTACAAGCCTATTTGGGCTGTGGTGAGAGCAGGATGGGTGGAACTGTGGAGTAGAAAGAGCTTCAGAGGTGATCTAAAATGGAGAAGGCAGGCAGGCACTCCTGACAGTGGCTAGCTGTTTTGTTCAGTGAATGAAAGATGTTGTGAGATGGAGCAATTGGTGGAGAGGGAAGACTCCAGGATGGGACTCCAGCACTTGGAATGTATGTACATATTGAGGGGAAAACAATGAGTTAAAGCTTGGCAAGAAGATCTAGCAGGGATGAGGATGGCTATAAAGAAGAGGAGAAAAAAAAGCAATGGGATAGCTGTGGGGAGCAAAGCAACTAGATGAGGAGCTTCTTAGACCTGAACAAATCTGGGGATGTGAGAGAAGAACATGGGGATGATTTCTATGAAGAAATCCACAAGATATCTTGCATCAAAGGAATTCAGAACAGGAAGAGGGGAGGGCTTGAGGAGTGAGTCAAAGATGGTGAAGAGGCAGCCAGGAATATGTGTAGGAGTCAATTAAGCCTGGAAGTAGATTTTTATCTAGGAAGATGAGAAGCAGGAAAGAATATGCCATGGGGGCAGTAAGCTCACTCTAGGAAAAGCAGTCATTGCTGCGACAGCAAGAATGGGGAATGGGGAAGGAGCAAATACCACTTTGCATGGGGATTTGGCAAAGAGGTGGATTTGAGATTACAGGAGGAGCGAGGAGGCTGAGAATGGAGGAGAGTGAACAAACTAATAGGCCTGGCCAGTGGCAACAGGGCTAACTTTTGTCGTAAGAAAACCATGTCAGTGCCAGAAGCAACAAATTGCCCCCTTTGAAAACAAGATGGGGATCAGCTGTTCCAGCAGCAGGCACAGCCCAGACAGTGCCTCGCTTGCAAAGTCCTTCACAGCTGTTGAAGCAGTGGTTGCATATGGAGGGGTGACAACAGTTGTCTCCCCACCCACTCTGGAGGAAGCAAGAAGAGCAAGATCCAGGGTTTTCAGTTCAGTTTCCCTGCCTGTCCACATTGCCTCTTTGCAGCAAAAGCAAATCTTGCCCTACTCTGTTTCCATTTTTGTTCCCGCTTCCCAGCAGTTCAGCAGGGACTTCAGCGGAGCATTAGTCTTCTTATGGAGAAATAGGAATGACTTAAACATTCGCGATAGGGGAAAGGAGGGGAAGCTCTGGGTCCTAGGGGAAGGCAGGGCTGAGTGTGGGCAGGGAGAAGAGGAAGATGGGGAGAGGTTTTAAAAATTCAGATTTGTTTTCTAAATTTAAGGCTGACAGGCCTTAATATGTCTTAGAAGGCAAAAAGAGTGTGAAGGGTAAGCAGGATGCAGTAGAGCTGCTGTGAGAAGAGCTGATGCTGTGGCGCAGAGGGAGGGAGCTGAGCTAATGACAGAGGGTAAAAAATGTCCTCAAGTGATGCTTATACAGCCTTTTCTTTCTGCTGCTTTCCATCCTACAGCGGGGGAGATTATAACAGTTGAACCACACCACTCAGTGGGATCTGGCACGTAAGAGAGCCTTTCCAGAAGCTGAGGAATTCTTAACGGTGTATCCAACCCCATCCCAAAGGATGTGGTCCTCCCCTCTGCACAGAAGAAGCAGAAAGGCAAAAGCAAATAAGGGCACGTTTAATATTTGCAAAACGCTGTCAGAATTCCCTGAGGTGGAAGTGTGAAACGCCTCAGGTGGCCTTCAGAAAGGAAGAGTCATGTTTCGTGTGGACCTTGAGAGGGGAAGAGGATTTGGCCTCACTGGGGAAATGGGGCAGCTGCAGCTTTAAGAACAAATAGCTTTGTGTGCAGCTCTCCTTGCTCGCATCTGCATTTTGGTGTATAATTTGAACATTTCATGAGAGTGCTTTCAGATGGTCCTGTGAATGTTTTATGAGCTGTTAAGAAGTGGAGTGCGTATAAAGGAAAGTGCGCAGCCGCCACTGCGTCGGGAGGGCACGGGTGCCTATTTTGGGCTAACAGAGTGATGTTCAACAAACGTCTTGTATTCAGGAGGCCAGCAGCTGCTCGTCACTGGTGCTTAACTGCTTACCCACCACATCTCTCCTACGAGCATCGCTCCCAGGTTTAATGCAGCTTTGTTCTCATTTCCGCCACTGGCTGCGTGCAGATGTGCACAAAAGTAGCACGCATGCAGATGTGGAAAGGCTTGGTCTGAGGGTGAGAGCCTCTGCACTGTGGATACCTGTATCTGAGTGATGGTCACTGGAAAAGAATGGGCTCCTTTAGATCATAACCCATCTGACTTATTTTGCACATCTTTAAAAGGGTGTGAATGATGGCTTCCTGGGACTGCTCCTCCCTGGTGTACTAGGAGGGGAGCCGGCAGTGGCTTGCTCTAATTTAGATGTAGAGGTCTGAAGTTGATCAGCATTCATCAGCTGAGACTTTTCAACAGTTTCCAAGCGTTTGTACTCTCACAAGTGACTTGCTAGACAACTCACACACCATGCAGTCAGGCATGTGCATGTTATGCATAGCTACCTGTGAGCTGCAAGGAGGTAGTAGTGCTTTCTATAGGTGGGTTCTATGGTGTAAAGCCTAGCGACTTTGCTACAGAATTAATGGAGAGAAGTGTAACAAAACAGCTATAAGGAACAGGGAACCGCTTATATCATCTGGATGCAGAGTGCAGAAATTGCTTCACTTTCACAGATTTTCATTACTTGCTCCAGTCTGCCTTGTCTTTTTCTATTCCTGCCTCTGGTCCTTTATCTTTCTGTCTCTTTTTGTCAATTTTTTCAGCTCCTGAGGCAAGAGAGGCTTCCCTGAAGCTGCTGCCACCAGGAAAAATGTTTTCTGTCTCTTCACCACCTCCTTAAGTGGCACTAGAAGATATCTTTTTCTCCCTTAACTTCTCTCCCTCTGCTGTGTGTTTGCCTTTGCTGCAACCAAGGAGTGTACCTTACAACATATTGTAGGGCATGTTTGGGTAGGAGACATTCTGCCAAACAAGACCAAGCTGATGAGGAAGCTTGGAGAAGGATGCTGCTAACAATCTCTACCCACCTACCCCCATCCCCTGCCTCATTTTGAACTGTAGCTGATAGTGGGAGGTAGAGGTCACATTTTGGAGGGATGTTAAACTGTAGCTGATAGTGAGAAGTGAGAGCCATGCCTTGCAATGTTTGCAAAGCACGTGTGGAGCAGCCATCCACAATGGACTGTGACCAGGCTTTGGTTTTTGGTTTTTGTTGGATGGTAGCATTGAACAAAAGTGGGTTTGCTCCTTTGTATGAGGTAATGCACACAAGCACAATGCGAGGTTTGTATTTCCTTGTAAGAATTTAAAGCACCATTTTTTTCAGCAATCACGTACTCTTCTGTTTCTCTCCCCCGCCTCTTTTCTTGCCACTTGCAGGTACTACATGAGCCCCTGATTGACGAAGATCCTGTTTTCATTGCCACATGCACAGAGAGGGAGCTGCGCAAGAGGAAAAAGAGGAAATTCAGTCTCTGGGTTCGGCAGTGCTCATCCACCGGTTTCATCTGCCAGGTGGGTTTTACCTCTTCCGATGTCTTGATCCAGTTCCAGCAGGCCCTTAAATGTATTGCAGGACCAAAGGTAACAGCCACTTCTCTTCATTGCCTTGCTGGGGGCTACAGTCTGAATGCAGCAGGCCTCTGACTGCTGCAGATACTAGATCCGATGGACAGTGATGACAGGTTCCTGATGCTCTGTTTGCTGTTTGATTTAACTGAGGGTGCCTGTCTCTAATACTGTCCATCTGGCTGCCAGCCCTGAGCTAATTAAATTGAAATGGAGTTAAAGGGTCTGTCTGTTTGTACATCCTAAGTTTATCTAAATGTCTAGGTACTGTGACTTCTGTAATTTTTAATGAGTCAGCTTCTCTAAGTATAATGCTGCATCTGTGATAGCCAGTGGTATCCAATAGACTAAATCAATACGGTATCAAGATGTCCATTTTTCTGTGAGAAACATTAGCGGGGTTTCCTATTGCATCGCTTTTCACACCTCTACTTCTCTACCAAAGAAATAAAATCTGATGTGACTTCAAGGTGAGATATGAGCTTGAGTGGGACACATGTTAAAGATTTGTTTTTAGTGTTGTAAAGCATTGGGGACAACTTTTCAAATTCTTGGATTCCCCAATTGCTGATGTATTTTGAGAGCTCTTGAAAAATCCAGCCGTTTCTTTTTGATACCTAGAGGTGAGGGCAGATATTTTCTGATAACTTCTTTTTCCCAAGAGCTTCTGTGAAAACGTGTCCTGCATGCTCCAGAGCAGTGGTTTGGAGGTGCAGGTAGGACATGCACACTGCCTGCTTAGGCTGAATGCATGTCAAAACTGCAGGGCCTGTGGATTTGCTGTGGTTGAACATTTGTTCACAGTAAAATTTGATCTGTGAATCACTATGACTGTTTGAGTAGCTATGCAAGAAAAGAGGCTCGCTGGGAACAGGGGTTTGCATTTTCAGTAATGCTATTCACTCTAAGAAGAAAATTAGGTTCATGCATCTTCCATCCAGGTTTTAAAGCAGTTGTTTTCGTCCAATACAAAATAGATTCACCTTGTGAAGCATCCTTGGAAGTTTCTGCTCTCAAGGCTTTTGGAAAGTCATTTGCTACACAGAGGCAGTGTCCTTAATCTCCAAGGTAAATTCCGCCAGTCCCACACGCAGCTTATTACTGAAGAGTAATGGGTACAGCGAGCACAAAGTTTGCTGATCTCTCTCACCATGCTCCCCCAAGCCAACTGCCACCAAACTAATAAGTCTTCAGACATGCCAGAGATTTCACATTCTGAGCTATAATTACGTTGCGCCTCCCGTCCTGTCCATCGAGAGAGTAAATTAATGGAATGTCAAATTAGACAGAATGGATGCTCAGCACCACCCTAATCCTTCTGCTCCCTTAATGAATTAAATACTCATGCTTCACTTGCATCCGGATGACGTCCAGGATCATCTTACCAGCTGCCTTCTATTTTCATTCCATGAGTTGGCTGTAATTATCATCATGCTAAAATGATTGGGTGAGAGGGACCTCGGGGAAGAGTGAAAAAAGAATATACAGGAACAGGAACATTCATGCTAAAATGGAAGAACCTTTTCTGGGGAGGATGGGGGTCTTCAAATATGGTATGCTTGAAATGCTACGTTCAGTTATCCGTCACACTTATGAGGGATCTTGCAGAATCCAAAGCACTTACTTGGTAGTTGTTTGGTGTATTGACTGTATTAAAACAGAGAAGGGGGTGTTTACTGTGTTTAACATATGGAGAGAATTGATCTAAATAAGAAAAAAATCCAATGTTTTCCCCCTTCGTGTGCACATCTTCCCCTCCATCTCTTGTGAAACTGCCATCATGAAGGAAAGACTTGTTGCCTGGTAGTTAAGGACTGACTGGTCTAGCACCAGTATGCTGTCAGAAAAACCTTACAGCACCTGCTTGGAAATATGCAGAAATTCTGTAATATGGTCTGGACGAATTCCCTCCCTCATTGTTTCCACATGATGACATCAAGGTCATTTTATTCTGGATAATATATGACTATAAACACTTCATAAATCAGGCTAATTCGATTTCAAAAGTCTGAATAATATCTATAAAAAGGTGAGGCAGCCCAGGCAGAAGAGGGAAGTGAGCTACATATGACTAGCTCTCAGGAATGGAAGGAACCTCAAGAAGGCTGTGATGCTTCTGGCCAGAAGCAAGGTCCTCTGAACCTGAATGATGAGTTGAAAAATGTCCATTTGAGGACATCCCCATTTTCCCCGTGATCTGCTTTTCCCACGATACAAAGGGTTGGTTCGTTTGTTTTCCTAATGTAAAATTGATATCAGTGTTTTGAAGCCACATGCTGAGCTACTCCGTGAACAGCTCCTGACTGGCAGCTCATAGGGCAGTTGTTAATGTTAGTAGTTTTAGCTGTTTGACCCCCCAAATTCCTCTGTCGTCTTGTTCTCATGAAAAAAACTCTGAATCACTTTTTGGGGGGAGAGTAAATACTTCTGTTTGATGGCTCATCATTTGCTTTTTTAAGCAAATGCTGTTTGGTTAAAAATCCAGCCCAATAAGCCATTCATGGAACAGAAGTGGCATAAAAACCAAATATTGCTTGTGGATATAAGAAGGTGCATAGGCTTATATATGCATAATATAAACAATGTGTATATATTAGACTGCTTTTCTGTAATACAGATAACCTGGCTCCACACTGACAGTTAAGTCTCTGTTTTAAGATGGATGCACAATTTCAGATCATATCTCTGCTTTGGAATTCCTCAAGCAAAGCATCTTGTTGCAGCGAATAGCTTTGTTGCTGAGTATCTTTGCACGGTCAGCTGGCCGAGTGGGAACATGCAGGAAGGACACATCATTCAAACAAAGTAAATATACGTCTACAGCAGCTGGGAACATGAACAAAACCTTTCAGAGGGCTAGAAGGGCTCCAGGAGAGCTGACTTTGGCAAAGCAGGCAGCAAAACTGCCCTGATGCTATTGCTTTTTTCAGCCATCCTTGATGCTGGACATCAAGTTGGCAGCAGCTGCTGCTGCAGGAGAGGGCTTGGGCTTTCTTGTTTCTTTCTTTCTAATTCAATGAGAACAGCAAACTCAGTTTGCAGGACCTCAGGTGTCCGTCTCTGCTCCATCTTCTCTTTGCTTTCCTCATTTCCCTCCAATATATTTCCCTACAAATGTGTTACTGCTAAGACACTTTCTGAAGCAGTATTTTAATATCTTGATTGCAGTTTAAATGATCACAGTGGCTTAGAAGCGTTTCTTTCTTTCTTAGCGTATTTGCTGAGTAAGTCATCCTATTTAAATCAAAACTCTAGTTGTGTCAGTTTTACTTCTCTCTTTTTCTCTCAAAAAGTCTGGAACACTTGCTTGTAAAAGATGTTCATAAATATGATTGGTAAGACTCTTCATCATTTTAGATATAGCAATAAAGCTCATAAAAAAACTGCTGAGAGTTCCCAAAAATATGATCAGGGCTAATTATTTTGTCCTGGCAGGGCACATCATGCTCTCTCTTTCTTTTCCTTGGGTAACTGTTACTAAGTGATGCCTAGTCCTTGTTCTCCTGCACAAGAAGGTTTTCTGGTCATTTTGCAGAAGGAGAAGGAAGCGCAGGAAGCTGGTGCCATGCGCTGGACCCCACGGGGAGTCGGGCAGGATGAGCTGTTCCTTTAGTGCCTCCTCCTGAACCACAGGGCCGTGGCACAAACATAACCCGAAAGGCAGTCCCTGACCCAAAGAGCCATCAATCAGCAAAATGGAAGGCAGTATGTAGATGGTAGAGAGCACTGCAAAGGGACCGTCAGGCAATATTAATCACTATGATAGGCGGTAATGGAATTAGCTCATCAACATAATTATTCACTTAACAAACCTGTGATGATATGGTGGAGAAGAAATGACTTTATGGATGTGTGTATCCTTTCCTATTCCTTGGGATGAAGTTTGTTCTCTGAGGCTATTCTGGATGCTCTTCCCTTCCCACACCCCCTCCCTGCCCCCAAACTATATATGGGCTCTGCACTCGCTTTTATTCACTGGCAGAAAGTTCTTGCAATAATGCATTTCATTTTCACTAATATCCCTGTGAAATGTGTCACTCCTCAGATTTATGAAGTCCTTTAGATCCTTGTGCTGGGACTGAACTTGAGATTCCACCTTCCACTGCTTACCCTGAAGAAGTGATGAGTCACAACAGATTAAGGAAAAGGACTGTGTCTCTGTAGCTTGAGTCTTCCCACCTTACTGAATGGTCAGAGACTTGCACTATAGCAGTATTTAAAGACTGCAACCTGGATCAGGGTGGCCCCTGCATGAGAGGGTAAGAAATGGCTCTCTCCCTAAAGAGCAGCACTCTCAGTGAAGGGAGATGTCTGAGGTCTCTCCATAGATCAGTGGCAGAGCTCTCAGTTGCAGAAAAAAACCCCAATGTAAACACCATGCTTTTATAGTAAATGCTGTAGCTCATTCTTGCTTTCAAACAGGGTAAGTACAGTCAGCTTGAATACTTCATAACCCTGTTGGTTTTACAGAGTAAGAACTTATTTCCAGAATTTAGGGAAACTGAGATGGTGCCCCAAAGAATTTATAATTTCACACCACACCACATAAGTGCATTCAGTCACTGGGAAAGGGAGGGGTAAATAAGCCTGGAGTGAATTTTGTTTTCAAGGTCAGAGTTGCAGGAGAGTTGGCCATCTGTGCATTTGTTTAATAAAGCTGCTCAGAAATGTTGGTGTTCAGCCTGGTTTAAGTTCTGTTTAGAGATTAGTCTGAGCCCTTGGGTTTCTTTAAACAGTGCCCTGATAATTTCTCTGTTGCTGGAGCAGTTGCATCTGGAATGCACAGATGTAGCGGCTGCTTTGAGGAGGTTCTCAAGGTCAGGCTTTGGCTGCGAGGGGATCCCAGGAAATCTGATCGCCTTCATTTGTCAGTCACTGGTGGCTGGAAAATCCTATCTGCTTTCTTCCTCTGGCTCCCACCAGGCCCTGGCTTTTTAATGCATGCA